GAAGCTAAAACTCCAGTACTTTGGCCACCTAATGAGAAGAGCTGACTCATTTGAAAAGACCCTGATGCTGGGAAAGTTGAGGGCAGGAGGAGAAGGGGACAATGGAGGATGAGATGGTTGGATGGCATCATCGACTCGATGGACATGGGTTTGGGTGGACTCCCGGAGTTGGTGATGGACAGGGTGGCCTGGCATGCTGCAGTTCATGGGGTTGCAAAGAGTTGGACACGACTGAGTGACTGAACCGAACTGTCAATTTGAGAGCGCTTTGGATATTGACCATATAGGTCAGGATTTCCCTGTCTTGGTGCTATTAATGATTGGAACCAGATTAATCTTCTTAATGAGGGAGGCTGTCCTGTACATTGTGTGATGTTTGGCAGATTCCTGGCCTCTGCCCACTAAATGCCAGGAGAACTCTCCTTTTGTGGCAATAAAAATATGTGACCAGATATTGCCATTGATTGAGAGTCACTGATAGAGGTGGAAGGGGAATGAATCCCCCTGTGAGTATGTTGGACTGGTGAGAGTCAGGGTTACAGGGAATCCAGTTCCACTGTTAAGAGCTCTGTGACCGCCATACTCTTGTTCCTTTATCTTTAAACATTGGCTTTCATGAAAACTAAATGACTCAAGATGTCCTGACCAGCATGAAACCCTTGCTTTCTAGACAGATCCTGCCTATGACCAGAGATCGCTCCCCAGTCTAGCAGATCTCCCTACTCATTCTCATCATGGTTATTGAGTGAGAGTTTGTACCAGATCATCATGATGAAATATTAATGTGTAGCACATAGGTTCCTTCACATGCCCAGTATTTCTAATATTTTGCTGTGTTATTGTATTTTGCTCTGAGTTGTTTGACTATTATTTATAGCCATGGGATTCCCTCCTGGTTCAGAGGACAAAGAGTCTGCCTGCAATGTAGAAGACCTGAGTTCAATCTGTGTGTCGGGAAGATCCCCTGGAGAAGAAAATGGCAACACACTCCAGTATTCTTGCCTGGAAAATCCCATGGACAGAGGAGCCTGGCAGGCTACAGGGCTACAGTCCATAGGGTTGCAAAAAATCAGACACTACTGAGCGACTTCACTTTCACTTTCACTTTATAGCCATAGGAGGAAGACTGAACCCCAAATGCATTGGAGCCTTAAGAGTCAAATGGATCTAGGGAGTTCAAAGGTTTTTGAATCATTATTTAACTATGGCTCTGATTGCTATATATTCTGATTGCTCATTCTCTGTGAACTTTTGGTTACTCTTTGAATTACTATGAAGGGTAAGTGAAATTATGTAAGGAGAACACTAAGAGCTGGGTACATAGTTGTTGCTTAAAACCTATAAGCTCTCTTCCCTCCCCTTAAATTTCCCCACAAATTTATACACGAATTTGTGTTTGTGTATAAAATCCCCTGGAGGAGAGCATGGCAGTCCACTCCAGTTTCTTGCCTGGAGAATTCCATGGACAAAGGAGCCTGGTGGGCTACAGTCCATAGGGTTGCAAAGAGCTGGACATGACTGAAGTGACTTAGCACTCATAAACACATTCATATATTCATACCTCCATCTATTCATAAATATACTTGTGGATAATTATTCAATAATATGTTAAAGAAATTTATTGATCACCTATTTATCAGGTGCTAGCACTATTCTTGATGCTGGAAATGGAACAATGAAAAAAATAGTGCAATCCGTAACAATCATTAATAGTGATGAAGATTTTACTCCACTGAGTTGGTTGTAGGGTGAAAACAGAAAAACCGAAAACAACTCTATAAATATTCAGTTCATCATTTTAACTATTATGTCCATTATTAAAAAGTTTGTCCTTGTTAAACAGTGTTGTGTTAAAGGACATATTTATTTTTCAAAAACAAATGCAAAATATTGAAAAGCTGAACCTTTGACCTAATTGATTTTCAATTTTTGACCCTGACAAATTGGAGTGGCTTAAGCATTTAAAGAAAAAAAAAACAACCCACTTTTCAGTTTGTCCTCCTTTCTAGTTTATTATACTTGTATACACTCTCAACGCTCAAGTTAGTTCTTGAGGTCTGCACTGGTAGTGAAATACCTTTCTGTGTAATCTGGTAATGTTTGTATATCTTTCTGTCTGAGAATATCTGGATTGCACTGAATTTCCTCTCAGGGAGAAGGGTGAAAATAACTTTTTGCAAAGCATGACTGCATCATCCCTAAGCACCATTACAACATGCTTAATGGGCTGTAATAGTATTTTTATTTTCTTATAACTTTGGCTCCCTTAATGTGTTTGAAGGTATTTAAAATGCACCTTTAAGCATTGTTCCATGTGCTTTGTGTCCCCTGAATAAATATTATACCCCTATTGACTTTTTAATTGTGAAATTTGATAATAGTAATGAAAGAGAAATCCCTGACCATTGTATACATTTTGCCACTTCATTTCACTTAGCTTCTTTCAGTTTCCAGGCATGTGTTTAGCAGATGTTTGTCTGTTTTGAATGGGTGTTATTTGGTTGTTTAGAAAAAAAAGGAGAGAGAGGAAAAGAAAATCCCACTACTGCTCTGCTGATCTGAAACTGATGCTATGAGGCAAACTGGATGTGTTTGAGATGTTAAAACTGACTAACCCAGACACTCCACAATCAGAAGCATATGAAAGAAGGGACTGTCTCAGACTGGCAAGATGTTCTTGTGGAATAGGTCTTAGAGAGATGGAGTTGGGCCTTGATAGGATGAGTGCTCCCAGCGAGGAAACATCCTAGGTGTGTTTCATCCTGGTTAAAGCAGGAGTATTTTAGAAAACACATCTCCAAATGTCACTCATTCTGGGGGTGGTGATGGGGTTACATGAAGACTTCAGCTGGGTCTCTCTCCACTCAGGTGAGGTATTTTTTAACCCTCTCCATTGTCTTGCCCCAACTGGACTTCATGAAAGTAAAGGGACTGTGCTTAGTTGCCAGTGAATCTGACATACTTTGTTGTGAAACATTTAAATAAAACTATATGTGAAATTATTTATTGAGTATATACAGTAAGCCAAACATAGTGCTCAATGCTTTAAGACCTTCATTTCATTTAATTCCACTAGGATTTACTATAATTCCACTAGGTTACTATTAGGACTGTTATGATCCTTGTTTTATAAATGGGAGAACTGAGATTTTAGGGAAAAAGTAATTTGCGTACAATCTTTTTTTAAGTTTATTTATTTTTAATTGAGTGACTTCCCTGGTGGCTCAGACCGTAAAAGCGTTTGTCTACAATGCGTGAGACCTGGGTTCGATCCCTGGGTCAGGAAGATCCCCTGGAGAAGGAAATGGCAACCCACTCCAGTACTCTTGCCTGGAAATTCCCATGGATGGAGGAGCCTGGTGGGCGACAGTCCATGGTGTCGCAAAGAGTCAGACATGACTGAGCGACTGANATTGTGTTGGTTTCTGCCATTCATCAGCATAAACCAACCATAGATATGGATACGCCCCTCCCTTTTGAACCTCCCTCCCATCCCACCCCTCTAGGTTGTCACAGAGCCCCAGTTTGAGTTCCTGAGTCATGAATCATATTCCCACTGGCTATCTATTTTACATGTGGTAGTGTAAATGTTTCCATGCTACTCCGTCCGTTTGTCCCTCCCTCTCCTTCCCCACCCTGTGCCCATAAGCCTGTTCTCTATGTCTGTGTCTCCACTGCTGCCCTGCAAATAGGTTCATCAGTACCATCTTTCTAGATTCCATATATGTGCATTAGTGTACAGTATTTGTTTTTCTCTTTCTGACATACTTCACTCTGTTTAACAGGTTCTAGGTTCATCCACCTCATTAGCACTGACTCAAACGTGGTCCTTTTTGTGGCTGAGTAATGTTCCATTGTGAAAATGCACCACAGCTTCTTTATCCATTCGTCTTTAGACTATCTTTGAGCCTCTGTGGGATTTCCCATCTTTACACTGAAGGGCACTGGGTTTGGTTCAGGAGCACAGAACTGCCGTGTGGCTGAGACAGGTCCTCAGAGCCTTGCCTGTGCCTTCTCTGTGTGATCTTCACTCTCTACTTTTTTGCCTCTGTAACTATTTTCCAAATCAACCAGTGTTTTCTTCCACCTACTTTATCACTTCAAATTAACCAGGACTCGACCAATATTCGTAAGTCACATTTTCATCTTTGAGTCTGGATTTACACCCAAGATTTAAATCCCGTGTATCCAACTCCATCATTTAAGCTTTCAGCCCACTAGATCAGTGGCTCCCCCGCCTTTAGCGTATAGCGTATCCTGAGGGCTTGTTAAAACACACTGTTGGGTCTTACCTCAGAGCCTCTTATTCAGTGGGTTTGGCACAAAGCCTAAAAACTGGCACGTGTTACATGTTTTCAGGTGGTACTGATGCTGCTGGTCCTCGGACCACACTTTGAAACTTTATGTGATGCCAAATTTGAAATATTATTAGTCATTTGGTGATTCAGCATAAAGGTTGGATTCAGGAAACCTGGGTGTTCTAGTGTCCTTGAGTGACACGGTCTCTGCTGCCCCTCTGAACCATGTCTCCTCTCCTCTTCAGAGCCCCACTGTGTGCTGGTAGACTTGTCACTGCCTTTTTTTTTTTAAACTCTGGCTGCACTTTGTCTTCATTGCTGCACATGGGCTTTCTCTAGCTATAGAGAACAGGGTGCGGTCCTCTCGTTGGAGTAGCTTCTCTTGTTGCGGAGCGTGGGCTCCAGGCTCATGGGTAGTTTTGGCTTGTGGGCTTAGTTTGCTCTGAGGCATGTGGGATCTTCCCAGACTAAGGATTGAACCTGTGTCCCCTGCACTGGCAGGCGGATTCTCATCCACTGAGCCACCGGGGAAGCCCTCTTCACTGCTTTATGTTCATATTGTTGCCCTCCTTCCCCAGGAATGAGAGGGCAGCCATTGTTTTCATTGAGCAGCACCATTCCTAGGTGGGAATCTTAAATGCTTCCCAGGTGATAAGACCAGCTAAGAGAGATGGGAGTTGCCTGTGGTGGTGCAATTTCTAGATGAGAGTTCTGGGACAGGTGAGAGGTGGTTAACATTTCCCAAATCGTGGCTGCCTCCCATGTACTTGGCCCTTTTTTTGAGACCAGAGAACATCTTTAGAATGCCTCTTTTGGAATTACTTATAGAAGCAGCTTACATTTGATATAAGAAAATGAAGTGTTAAGTGAGTGTCTGGGATTTGAATCCAGACCCCTCTCCCCCAGATGTGTTTATTACATTCCCCTTCCTTATTCATTGCCTCTTGGCATTTCTAAAAAATTGACTGCCACCACTATGGTCATTGTTGCCATTATCTGATTGGGTGTTTCTATTTCTTTGTCCCAAGGTTCTCAAATACCTATCATATGGTATGTCTTTTGACCAAAGGGTAATGTGGGGAGATCAGAGTGCTAAGTGGCTAATAAGAGCATGGTCTCTGGAGCCCACAGATGAGGCTTAAGTTGTTGTCTATGATTGTGGGCAACTTCCTTAGAATCACTGAGCCTCCTGTTCCATGTATAAAAAACTGTAATGTTGAAATATTTTCTTCTAAAAACTTTTGTTAGAGTTTAGTTATTTATGCATGTAAAACCCCTGAAACAGTATTTGCTTTTCAATAAATGGCAGCTGTTGGTAGTGGAAAACCCCCTATGAACATGGTTTACTGTTTCTTGGATCATCCCCCAAAGTCACTTAAAGTACAGAATCTAAGCTTCTACCTCTCTGAAACCCTGTATTTTAACTTTTAACGTAGGCATTTATTTCCCAGTCTTTGGATACAGGACCAACTTTTTTTCCTGGTGTGGATCACCTGGATAGGATTCTCCATTATCTTTGTTGGATATACCATGTCATCTATAAGAGAATTATAAAGACAATCATGAAGCAATCTGAGGACAGACTATTTTTAAATTTTAATGTTTTTTTTTTTTTTCTGTTTAGTAGTTCACATGTCTTATTTATATCTAATAACTTTTTGTAAATATTTACTGTTAGGAAGCATTTGGTGAGCTCTCTTTTGTACTGTTCTAGGGACTATTTTAGCCCCAGTTTAGGGGCTACTTTGGTTTATTGCATAATTATGTGATACACAGCCAGCAGTGAGATTGGAGAATAAATGCAGATCAATACAAATGGGAGAAGAAAGACAACTGACTCAGCCAGAGCAAAAGTAGAGCTCATGAGAAGAGAGTCTGTTGGCTGCAGATTTCAGCCTCCCATGGATCTAACAGTGTGAGAGGAACTCTGACTAGTCTGCTGTCTTAGTAATCAGTGTTACTATTGCACTCAGCAAAGATGTTACATACGAGGCTGGCAGAGGGTTTGCAGGCTGCCCTTTTAAGGTGGGAATATTTCAGGAGGCAGTGGGTAGGACTTGGCTTGGCCAGTGCTTGCTTAATTAGGAGAAAATTTTCCAATCAGATTTGACCATCTGACCCATTTTCTCAGAGAAGGCCAACAGATTTCACATGCACGCTTAGGAACCTTCCATACTTGGGTCTAGTAATCAGAAAAAACAACCGAGCTGGAACTGCTCCCCCGTGGGCTGGCAGGCAGTGATGATGGCAGACTGCCTGCTCTTTCTGGCTTCCTGCTGACACTGTGCATGCTGTTGATTTACTGGAGAAGAATACATCCCACACACATGCATGCACACACGCACGCTCCCTCATTTCATATTTGAAAATACAGTAAGTGAAATGTTGGTCTTTCAGTTATGTCTGACTCTTTGTGATCCCATGGACTGTAGCCCACCAGGCTCCTCTGTCCATGGAATTCTCCAGGCAAGAATACTGGAATGGGTAGCCTATCCCTTCTCTAGGGGATCTTCCCAGCCTAGGGATTGAACCCAGGTCTCCTGCATTGCAGGCAGATTCTTTACTATGTGAACCACCAGGGAAACCCGCACTTTGCAGTACACTACCCCTAAATTGACTCTTGCAACATCAGGGGTCACACCTCCAGTGCAAGCTTCTACGAGTTGTTTTCCCTTCCTACCAAAGAATGGGAGTGTTAGTTGGCAGAGTCTGAGCCGAGGGCAGCTTGTTGCCACACAGAACTTTCTCACCATAAATGACCAACATATTCTACCCTGGCCTGACCAGTGGATACCACCGTCTGGTGTTCTTCTAGTAACAGTCATTCTTGTGAGGGGGCTGGCATGGGCCCCTTTTTTGGGCCCATGGTCCCGTTGCCAGGCCTCCTTTGTTGATACTCTGGGAGCTGCAGTCCAGAGGCTCCCAGCAGTGGCCCACCATGATGCTTCCTGGTTATCATTGTTCATGTGCTCCAGGGAGAGCCTGGAACAACCCTGGGTTCACACGCATCTGCTCTTGAACTGGAGGTCAGAGGCTCTCTGCTGCTGTGACCTCAACCAAGCCTCCTGATCTCTCTGTGACTCAGCTTCCTCCTCTGTGACATTTGATGTCTTCCAGTCTTCTCTGAGTCAGACCTTTTTTGTCCCCATGGCCGCTTAACGATAGTCACAGCATCTAAGGTGCTGCCGCCTATTGTTTCCTAGGTTCCTTCCTGTGGACTGACATGGGGTCTCTTGATTAAGCTTGAGTATTCTGCTGGTGCTCAAACCTAGATCCCCAACCTTCCAGAAAATGTATTCAGAATTTTTTTTCTATAGGTGCAGTTTACAGGTTGAAGAGGCATCATGATTCAGGTCTTAATGTAGCCAGAACGGTAACTTGACCCCTTCGTAAAATATTTTTTTGTCTATTTATTTACTTGGTTGCATTAGGCCTTAGCTGTGGCCTGTGGGATCTTTGTTGAGTCATTCAGATCCTTCTTTCAGGTGCACATACTCTCTAGTTGCGGTGTGCGGGCTCAGAAGTTGTGGTGCTGGGGCTTAGTTGCTTCTTGGCATGTGGGATCCCAGCTCCCTGACTTCGTTTGGAACCCGCGTCCCCTGCATTGCAAAGTGGATTCCTAACCACTGGACCACCAGGGAAGCCCCTTGCCCCCTTTTCTGGCTAGTGTGATTGAAAGCAAATCCAAGACAGCATGCCATTTCACATGTCAATACTTAACGTATGTTTTCCTGACATACAGAATTTTTAAATAATTAAAATCCCGCCTAACTGCAAATCTATCCTGATGCCAAACAAAATTAGCAGCAATTCTTTAATGACATCTAATACCCAGTTTATGTTAAATTCTCCCCCACATAATATTTAAAATGGCGTTTTATACTTGGTTTGTATGAAGAGCCAAATAAGGCCTACAGTGGTTGATGTTTTTCTTTTTTGAAGAACAGCTTTATTGAGATGGAGCTTACATACCATACAACTGACCCATTTACAATTTACATTTCAGCACTTTTTAGTGTATTCTCAAGATTGTGCAACCTAATCACTACAACCTGATTTTAGAATGTTTGTATCCCTCCTAAAATAAGCCCTGTGTCCTTTAGCAGTCACTCCCCTGATCCCCCTCTCCATTCCCCAACCTCTACAACCTCTAATCCTATTTGCCTCTATAGATTTGCCTATTCTAGACATTTCATATAAACAGAAACATAACAATTTGCAGTCTTTTGCCATGAACTTCTTTCACTTAGCATAGTGCTTCCATATTATGGCATGTATCATACTTAATACATTTTTATTGCCAAATGAAGTTACACTGTATGGCTCAACTACATTTTTTTCATCCATTCATCAGTTGATGGAAATTTGAGTGGTTTCCATCTTTTGGCTATTATGAATAATACTATGATGGACGTTCATGTACAGATGTTTATGTGGACATATGTTTTTACTTTTCCTTGATATATGCCTAGGAGTAGAATTGTTGTTTAATGTTTTGAGAAACTACCAAATCATTTTCCACAACAGCTGTGCCATTTTACATCCCCACCAGCAATGTGTGAAGGGTCCCATCCATACCCCCGCCAACACTCGTTATGACCTGTCTTTTTTTATTGCAGTGTCCTACTGGCTATGCAGTGGTGTGATATTGTGGTTTTTCTTTGTGTTTCCCTGACAGCTGCTGGTGTCGAGAATATTTTCACAGACTTTTTGGCTATTTTTATATCTTCTTTGGAGAAGTGACTGTTCAGATCCTATGACCATTTAAATTGTTTTTTTTTAAAAATCATTAGTTGCAAGAGATTTCATACTAGTTGTTATCAGATACATAATTTGCACTTTTTTCTCCCAGTATGTGGGTTGCCTTTCACTTTTTTCAGTGATTTCTCTTGCAGTTCAGTTTTTCAGATTTTTATTTAGTCCAGTTTGCTTTTTTTCATTTGCTGCATGTACTTTTAGTTTTATATCTTAAAAGCCTTTGCCTAACCCAGGGTCATAAAAATTTACTCCTTTTTCTTCTAAGAGTTAAACCTTTAACCCTTGCATTTAGGTCAGTGATCCATTTGGAGTTCATTTTTTATAGCAGTCTTTTTTTAAAAAGTTATCATTTATTTATTTATGTGTTTTCTGCTGCCCTGGGTCTTCGTTGCTGCGCATGGGCTTTCTCTAGTTACGGCCCGCAGGGGCTACTCTCTAGTTCAGCGTGCTGACTTCTTATTGCCGTGGCTTCTCTTGGTGTGGAGCACAGACCCTGGAGCTCACGGGCTTCAGCAGTTGTGGCACATGGGCTTAGTCGCCACACTGCCTGTGGCATCTTCCCACACCGGGGATTGAACCCCTGTCCCCTGCACTGGCAGGTGGATTCTTAACCACTGGACCACCAGGGAGGTCCTAGAGTTAATTTTTATGTGTCATGTGAGATAGGAGGTCCAACTTCATTGTTTTGCACGTGGATATCTGGTTGTCTCAGCACCATTTGTTAAAAGGACTGTTACTTTCCCATTGAAGAAACATTATTTTCGTCTTGTTACTTTCATCTTGGCACTCTTGAAAATCAGTTGTCTGTAAAGGTAAGGGTTAATTTCTGGCTTCTTAGTTCTGTTCTGATGTCAGTACTACACTATCTTTGTTACTGTAGTTTGATAATACATCTCTTCTTTCTTTCTCTACTAACAGATTTCAGTTCTTCTTTTAAATAGTCATTTGTTTTTGGCTGTGCTGGGTCTTCATTGCTGCACAGGCTTTCTCTAGCTGCTGTGAGAGGGGCTACCCTCTAGCTGCTGTGCCTGGGCTTCTCTTGCTGCGGAGCAGGGGCCCTGGGGTGTGCAGGCTTCAGTAGTTGCAGCACGTGGGTTCAGTAGTTGTAGCTCCCAGGTTCTAGAGCACAGGCTCAGTAGTTGTGGGGTACAAGCTTAGTTGTTTCTTAGCATGTGGGATCTTCCTAGATCAAGGATTGAACTTGTGTCTCCTGCATTGGCAGGCAGATTCTTCACCAGTGACACCCCATAAATACATTCCCTCAAACTCTCTTAATCTGTTTGTGTGTCAAATTTTTTACCTCCACCCGCAATCCATTTATTTCTGAAAAACCTGGGTTATTTTTATAATATTTACCACAATGGGATTTGGCTCATAGTATCCTGGTAGTATCACTTACCATGTTTCTCTCTCTCTCTTTTTTTAAGCTATTAGGAGGTTTTTTGGTAAGCTTATATTATCTGGATTCTTAAAGAAATTCATATTCAGTTATATATTTACTTTTTTTTTTCTCTATTGCCAAGATTACTTCTAGGTGAAACTATATACTTCCTGGTTTATCTGTCAGATGGCATGTGTTGTGTGGTTATCCCACTTTGCTAAAATTGATCATTTGGTTTGGATCAGACATCCATCTATTATAAAGTCCCCCACTGACTTGTCACTTACTGGTTTTAGCAGCCACTCATGCTTGTTTAGATCTATTGACTATTTCATTTAGAGTTGTGAAATGATCATTTTGGACTTCTATTATTCCTTCTGCATTTATTAGCTTTGTTTCTTTTCCTTTATCAATTTTCAGTATGAACTTGTGCCCTAGTGACCTCTTAAGGTGATCAATGATTATTTCTAAGAATCGTTATTGAATTTTACATACCTGTTTTTTGACCCATTGCAAGTCTTCATTCTTTCTGACACAAATTGCCCCTCACATAAAAATAATTATATGATGTCTGGGCTTTGCCTTAAAATCATCCATTAGAGTTAATATGGGTAAGGAAGTAGATGAGTCATGAGTTATAATTGTTGAGTCTGGGCAATGGGTTCATTGTTCTATTTTCTCTTCTTTTGTATGAGGTTTTAAAAATCATGTTAGTGTGTGTGGGGGTGTGTGCTCAGTCCTGTCCAATTGATTATCCCTTGATGTCAGTCCATTGTCATTTTGATAACTTCCTTGATTGCAATGCAGGAGACCCCAGGGTTGGGAAGATCCCTTGGAGAAGGGAACGGCTACCCACTGCAGTATTCTGGCCTAGAGAATCCCGTGGACCATATAGTCCACAGGGTTGCAAAGAGTCGCACACGACTGAGTGACTTTCACTTTACTCACTTGATCCTCAGGCACAGGAAGCCCCAGAAACATTTTATACATCTCCTGTCCCAAAGCTAGAGTCAGTCATTTCTCCAAGGATTCTTTCTACTGGAACTGACATTGAAGGCCGTCTGGCTGATCCACTAGGGTGCTCATCTCCACCCAGTTGTCCTTGCCCTTAGCCTCTGCAGTGGACAGAACTAGAAAAGTTTTTCAGAAAAGGAAAAGTGAATCCGAATTCAGGTCAGTATTTGCATTCAAATGAAAGAGTGCAAGATTTTCATTTAACTTCTTTTGCGCTATTTATCTATTTCATGCTAAAAATCTTGATTTCTAACAACTACCATAATTACTCATTTACTTTATTCTAGTTATTTATAACATCTACTTATATAATGTAATATAGTAATTTTACAGTATGTGTATTTGTGTATATATTTAGGGTAAGAGTAGATATTAGTTTAAAAATAATGATTTAAGAAGTCTACTATTGTCCATTTTATATTTAAGATATATCTCATTGGGGTGGATATAGTCAAAGACTGTTTTTCAAAGTTAGGCTGTATCTAAGCTGTTCAGTTCATTTGTTTCAATTTGCTTTAGAGTTTTAGGTGTTCCATTTTACCCTCTTTGTGATTTCCTTTGGTTCTAAAGTGAAAACTACAGTATAAGGAAAATTCAAAGGTTTAATTTCCATCCATGTTCCCTTCTCCCTGTTTTTTCCTTCTTTCCATGAAGAATCATTTTTATTTGTACTAGAATTGCCCTTCTAATATTTTAAAAATACATACAGTATAAAATGGATATTCTCCTTTTTTCCCAAAAGCTAGCATACTGTACACTCTAGGGTGCTTTGCTTTGTTACTTTACAATATTTCAGGACATTCTTTCTTCTTGAACTATGTTATAATAGTTTGACCCTTTTATCAGACTAGTTTTATATTTGTGTTCTACTTAAGTGCATTGTGGGATGTGGCCGTCTGTTATTAATTATACCATAAAATACTGAGAGTTAGGGACTTAACTGTGAGTTTTATGAAAAGTCTCTTTTTCTTTCCTTCTCATCATAGAGTATGATTAAATGCCTTACCTTTTTTACTCTCTCTCTCTCAGTCTAAAAGAATTCCTGCCCAAAGAATACATCAAGCAGAGAGGAGCTGAAAAGAGAATATTTCAGGTATTGGGAATGTTCAGAGCTTTGTTATTCTCCTCACTTCCTGTCCTCATTCATTAGTCTGAGAGGGGCCTCTGTACATAAAAGCTTCAGATCTCCTGCTTGTACTCCACTTATATAATAAATGATTAGTGACTCAGGAGTAAAGGAGCTGACAGTTCTACTTTGGGCAGATTTATTATCTTAATCCATACCTTCTTGCTAAAGGTTACTTAGCCCTTCTGAGAAAAATGTGCATACATTTAATTTCAAAGACATTATCTTTGAAGCATTGAAACAAGGTGATTTTCCATTAAAATGTACCAAGGAAGAAGCTACAAGGAGCTTTTTTTTAATCCTGAGGTTTGTTTTTTGCACCTTAGAATCTGGGAACTGGTGTCTTTTTAAAAATCCAGATTTATTCTAAAATTCAGAGTTATCTATTCTAGGCAACCAATAAGAAAAGCTTTGTCATCACCTTTGCCAGGAAACACTCACTCTAGTGAATCCAAAATATCAGAGTCTTCTTTGGCATTGAAATGTAAATATAAATTGAAAGGGATAAATTTCATGTGTATAAAATAGTTTTTAATCCAGTATTGTTTCCACACACTGAGATGTCCAGGCTTTTATATGTCATGCTGTTTGAAAAATTTTATCTTTTGCCTGTGTGTTAGAATGATAGCTCTCCCAGGACAAGAACATTTCTCTAGTCCTCATTTAAAGTGTTGGTCCTGAACCTTTTGGAACATAAAACGCTTTGAAAATTAGGTTACAGTTACGACCCCTGTTCTTGTCACACTGCACATGCATGAATTGTTCCCTATAATGCAAAACCTATAGGGAATTTGGGCTCACATTCTAGTTAAGAAGCCTTGCATTAGCGCTTATTGTGTGCTCTGACCCTCGGTCATCAGGGACACGCATCTACAAATAAATAGACGCCATGTGGAGTGGTGCCTCTCACTAAGTCCACGTGTGGCCAGAGCTGCAGTAACTGGTCCCTGCCTCTGTCACTTTTGTAGGAGCACAAGAACTGTGGGGAGATGAGCGAAATAGAAGCCAAAGTCAAGTATGTCAAATTGGCCCGGTCCCTTCGGACATATGGAGTGTCCTTCTTCCTGGTGAAGGTGAGTTGGGTGTGGTGGAGGGAGCATTTATCTTTACCACTTCTTTAGTTAAAAGTGTTCACTGATAAGCTTGGTAGTAGTCCCTTTTTTGTTGTTGTTTAGTTGCTCAGTATTGTCCCTTTGTGACCCCACAGACTGCAGCATGCCAGGCTTCCCTGTCCTTCAGCATTTCCCAGAGCATGCTCAAATTCTTGTCGGTTGAGCCGGTAATGCCCTCCAACCATCTCATCCTCTGTAGTCCCCTTCTCCTGCTTTCTGTCTTTCCCAGGATCATGTGGGCTTTTCCAATGAGTTGGCTCTTCGCATGAGGTGGCCAAAGTATTGGAGCTTTAGCTTCAGCATCAGTTCTTTCAATGAATATTCAGTGTTGATTTCCTTTAAAATTGACTGGTTTGATCTCCTTGCAGTCCAAGAGACTCTCAAGAGTCAAGGGGTAGTCCCCAGACCCCTAGCATTTGCACATGCAGCATCTTGGCAGTAGTGACCTGAGTTAAGCAGTGGGACAGACCTGAAGTATAAGAGCTATTAGGCTGGTGAGTGAGCCTGGCTGCCCTCAGGCCTCAGAACAGCTGTGTCTTGGCTCTGTTCTCTGTCACTACTGTAAAGTCCCCAAAGGAATGCCTTTACTTTTCCTTGCTAGTGCTTTCCCCTAAGAATGTTTCACTTACGTTATCAGGAGTGCCCTGGACTAGGAAGTTTGTTGACCGCAAACTTAATGGTACTTACTTTGTATCCTGTTAGATGGGTTTGCAGATTTTCTGTGGCCTTCAGATCTGTTTTTTCTTGCAAATTGCTGGTCTTCCAACCTAGAGGGACAGAGATGGGTCTTTGAAATTCAGCTTATGAACAAACAGAGAGTGTGTTCTTGAGTTGATGAGGAAACTCTTCCAGTAACTTCCTCATTTTTACATCCTGCCCAGCATATGATTTATCCTGGAGAATGTTCCATGTGTACTTGAAAAGAATGTGTAATCTGCTGCTTTTGAATGGAATGCTCTGTAACTATCAATTTAAGTTCATCTGGTCTAATGTTTCGTTTAAGGGCTGTGTTTCCTTATTGATTTCTTTGTCTAAATGAACTGTCCATTGATATAAATGTGTTGTTAAACTCCCCCTGTATTATTGTGTCATTGTCAATTTCTCCTTTTTTCATGACTGTTAACATTTATGTTTTGTACTGAGGTGCTCCTATGTTGGGTGCATATATATTTACAATTGTTATATTTTTTTCTTGGATTGATCCTTTGATCATTGTGTAGTGTCCTTTGCCTCTTGTAAGATTCTTGACTTTAAAGCCTATTTTGTCTAAGTGTTGCTACTCTGGCTTTCTTTTGATTTCCATTTGCATGCAATACCTTTTTCCATTTCCTCACTTTAAATTTGTATGTATCTCTGGATCTGAAATGAGTCTCTTATAGGTGGCGTATATACAGGTCCTGTTTTTCTATCCACTGTTCGGTGGATAGAACAGCTGTTCGGTGTTTTTTGGTTGGAGCATTTAGTCTGTTTGCATTTAAGCTAATTATCAATATGTATATTTCTATTGGGCTTCCCTTGTGGCTCAGCTGGTAAAGAATCCGCCTGCAATGTGGGAGACCTGGGTTCGATCCCTGGGTTGGGAAGATCCCCTGGAGAAGGAAAAGGCTACCCACTCCAGTATTCTGGCCTGGAGAATTCCACGGACTGTATAGTCCATGGGGTTGCAAAGAGTTGGACAGGACTGAGCTGCTTTCACTTTTCATATTTCTATTACCATTTCACTAGTTGTTTTGGATTTGTTTTTTCCCCTTTCTTATTTTGTTCTCTTCTGATTTGATGACTATCTTTTGTGTTGGGTTTGGATTCTTTTTTCTTTTTTTGTCAGTATATATCTATTATAGATTTTGGTCTTGTGGTTACCATGAGGTTTTTATATAGCAGCGTAGGTATATACCTATTTGTTTTAAGTTACTAATCTCTTAATTACAAATACATTTTAGATCCTCTGCATTTGTACTCTTCTGTCCTCATGATTACTGTTTTTCATATTGTATTTTGCATTTAATTGTTTTGTGTATCCCTTAACTGCTTATTGTGGATACAGATAGTTTTACTACTTTTGTCTTTTAACCTCCTTACTAGTTGTATGTGGATGATTTCCTACTTTTATTGTATATTTGCCTTTACCAGTGAGCTTTTTCGTTGTAACTTCCTTCTTTTTAGTTGTGGACTTTTCTTTTCCACCTAGAGAAGATCCTTTAGCGTTTGTTGTAAAGCTGGTTTGGTGGTGCTGAATTCTTTCAGCTTTTTCTTGTCTGTAAAGCTTTTGATTTATTCATCAAATGTTAGTGAGAGCCTTGCTGGGTAGAGTATTCTTGGTTGTAGGTTCTTCTCTTTTATCACTTTAAGTATATTGTGCCACTCTCTTTTGGCCTGCAGAGTTTTGGCTGAGAAATCAGTAGGTAGTCTTATGGGAATTCCTTGTGTATTATCTGTTGCTTTTCCTTTGTTGCTTTTAATATTCTCACTTAAAATGCTCTCATAACAGCTTAAAGAAGGTAATTATGTGAAGTAATGGATGCCTTAATATTCTGTGGTAATCTTTTCTCAATATTTACACATATCAAATCATTATACTACACACCTTAAACTTATATAATGTTCTGAATCAGCTATATCTAAATAAAATTAGAAAAGATGGCATCATGTGATTATTTTAAATAAAACTCCTAAGGTGTTTGATAAAATTAAACTATTCATTATAAAAATTTCTGTAAAATTCTAGAATACAAATATACTTTCTCAATAGGATAGAATGTTTTAAACCTATCACCAGTATTCTACTCAACAGAGAAGTGCTAGAGAGAAACTTACAGAAATTGAGATCAGAGCAAGTTACCCTTTAACATTATTTTGTACATTCTAGGAAGTGTGGTAATATGTAAAAAAAATTTTTTAAATACATATCTTTAGGAAATTGAAAAAAAATATTATTAATATTTGCTATGTTTGTTTATCTTTTAGTGAAGATATGCAGAATCATATTTTTAACTATTTACTTTGAAATAACCATAGATTCACAGGAACTTGGAAAAACAACAGAGAGAATAAAAAAGTCAGAGTAACAAGTATAGGTAAAGATGTAAGGAAACTGGAATCCTCATATACTGTTGGTGGGAAAGTAAAATGGTGCAGTCACCTTAGAAAACAGTCTGGCAGTTCCTCAAATGAGATGCCATATGACCCAGCAGTTCTACTTCTGGGTATATATGCCTAAGAGTATTCAAAGCATATATTCACAGAAAAATTTGTACATGAAAGTGTACAGCTGCATTTAGACAAATGCTGAAAATAACATATTCATCATCTGATGAATGGATGAAGAAAATGTCATATATCCATGAGGTGAAATATTAATTGGTCATAAAATGAAATGAAGTGTACTGCTTCATACTACAGCATGGATAAATTTTGGAACTGTTATGTGAAGTGAAGTAAGATTTCTTCGCAAGAAATCCTATCACAAGATTTCTTTGGTATAGAATGTCCAGAAAAGGCAAATCCACAGAGACAGAAAGTGTACTGCTGAAATGAAGTATACTGCTTCATACTACAGCATGGATAAATTTTGGAACTGTTATGTGAAGTGAAGTAAGATTTCTTCACAAGAAATCCTATCACAAGATTTCTTTGGTATAGAATGTCCAGAAAAGGCAAATCCACAAAGACAGAAAGTAGATTAATGGTTGCTTAAGAGTGGGGTGGGATCATGGGACATAGGTGAGTAATAACTAATGGTACAGGAATTTTTTTTTTTTTTAGGTGATGAGCATGTTTTAAAATTGACCATGGTGATAGTCACACATATCTATAAAGATACCAAAATCCACTGAATCAGATACTTTAAATGGGTGAATTGTATGGTATGTGAATTATACCTCAGTAGCATTTTAGAAATTCTAAAGATGCTGAGAGTTCTCTTATCATCAATTTTCCCTCAATGGTAACATGCCACTAGTACAATGTCACAACCAAGCAATCGTCTTGGTACATACAGTTCATAGACCTTAATCATATTTTGTGTTCTATGTTGTTCACTTATGTGTGTTTGTTTAGTTCTGTGCGGCTTTCTCACAAGTGTAGATTTGTGTTACCACCACTGTAGTTAAGATATTGAACTCTCATCCATTGAGAATACCTTGTGCTACCTTTTATGGCCATAGACACCCCCCACCCCTTCCTGCTTCTCCTCACACCCTACTCCCTTTCCCTGGTCTCTTTACCCACTAGCAACCTCTAATTTCTTGTCTGTCTCAATAATTTTGTTATTTCAAGAGTACCACATGAGTGGAATCATACAGTACATAAATTTTTTACTTCTTTTTTTCATTTCGTAGAAATCCCTTAAGATCTATCCAAGTCATAATGTTTATCAATAGTCCATCACTTTTTATTGCTGAATAGTATTCTGTAATGGAAGTAGCAGTTTGTTTAGTCATTCATCTCTGAAGGACATTTGGGTTGTTTCTAGTTTGTGGCTATTATGAACAAAGCTGCTATAAATATTTGTGTATAGATTTTTGTGTGAATGAAGTGTGCAATTCATTGGGATAAATGCCCAAGAGTACATTGCTGAGCCATATGGTAAGAACACATTAAGCATTATAACAAACAGCCAGACTATTTTCCAGAGTGACTATACCATTTTACATTCTTACCAGCAAAATATGAGTGGTCCAGTTTCTTATCATCCTCTCCAGCATTTGGTGTTATCATTTTTTTTTTGTAATTTTAGCCTTTCTGATGTGTTTTATGAAATTTTTTACATTTTGCATTTCCCTAATGGCTAATGATTTTGAACATCTTTTCCTGTGCTTATTTGTCATCTGTATATCCCCTTCAGTGAAATGTCTGTTCACAGTTTTTTTTGGCCAGTTTTCTAGTTAGATTTTTTTTTTTTCTTACTGTTGAAATTTAAGAGTTCTTTATATATTCTGGATCCAAGTCCTTCATTGAATGTG